AAATAACGAGAAAACTCTTGCTATTCCGTCAAGCGTGACTGTCGCGGTTTGTCCGACGTGTTTTCCAATGAACTGCTACGCCTTTGCATACGTTATTCCCAACCCTCACCTGGCTACGTCATCTAAAAACAACGTCACTACGACGTCACAATCACGTCATAGAGCTTACCAAAGAAAAGCTACGATCGCCCGAAATGTCATCTCTGCGAACGACAAACTCGCTAACACCAGCGATTTCTCTCATATAGAGGACTTGCACGGGTCACGTGACATTGTTACTGGACGGCAATAAAACAAAAACGTCCATTTGGCTCCTGTCAGTTGCAAGTCGGATTATACGTTTGCGTTTTGTTTGGCTGTTGAAAATGGTTATTTCGTTGTTCTGTTGGCTGTACGTATAGTATAGACAACGAAATGGATCTTCAGTAATATTCCACTGATTTCAAAAGATCCTGAACGTCGCGCAATGTGGATATCATCTATTGCCTATTGGCAGAACTGCTTGGTGTCAAGTCCAGAAGCCATCTTACTTGTGTTTCACTGTTTGCGGACAGCACTTCGTTGATGGTGAGTGATAGTGTGCCGTTATCAATTTCTTTAAATATTCACAAGCTCCCTCATTTCAATGGAAAGCAGATGACAAACTACTGTTATCAGTAGGCCTAGGCGTGGACCTACTTGCAGTTGCAGACTTGACTTGTGTAAGACAGTAAGGAATTAATAATCTAATAATCAACTACTGTTATTAGTAGGCCTAGTTGCAAACTTGACTTGTGTAAGACAGTAAGGAATTAATCTAATAATCAACTACTGTTATTAGTAGGCCTAGGCGTGGGCCTACTTGCAGTTGCAGACTTGACTTGTGTAAGACAGTAAGGAATTAATAATCAATTGCTGTAAGGTATTGTTTCCCTAATTAGCAGGTAATCTTTTACTAAGTGTAAAAGGTTGAATAGATAACTAACCTTTAACACCAGGGGTCATGCAAAAAATAACCAGAATTAAATTGAATTCGCCATCTAGGAATACGCTCGCCACCGCATCTCTGATCCCCCTGGTAGTTTCACAGGTTTCAATCCCATGCGGGGATAGTTATGTGCTAGAGGATTGCAGCTCCACTCCCACCGAGGGTGTTTCACATGACCGCTGATCGGTTACGACCATTCCCCACCATCCAAGTCCATGCTTCTGAAAACAAATAACTGGCTCCCCCCCAGATAAATCCTATCCTAATGGTGCTTGTACAACTGATTCAAAATGTCTTTTTATTGTCATTGGTAAAAAAGATATGCTACCCGGAATCAAATTCATTGGGATATGGACATAAATTTCACACTCCTTGATCGTTAGATTTTATGAAAACTCTTATCTGTATCCATTATCTTACAGATATGGGTGCGACCATGGAATAGATGGATGGCAAAGTATAAGTTGCAACAAGACCACAGTGGCACAAGACCTCAGCTTGCGTGACTTGATAATACATCCTCAGTATCCATTTATTGATGCTTATCGTAATGACAAAGTAACTTGTCATTACTGTGGATTGGTGGAGATAAAGTGTCCATTGTGCTTTAACGAAATCAACTTCAAGACGACCCTATCAAGAAAAAAAATTGTTTCGGTGGCTCTGGTCGTTAAGGTTTCAGTCTAACGTTGGACACCGATACTACAACCAGATACAGTTGCCAATGAAACTTAAGCGAGGCGTAATATTGCGACTTTGTGATCTGAAGGGAAATTCTGATGGGTAGCCGGCTAGCCGCAACCTTTTGTTTAAAGAATATTATTAGATACGACTTAAGAGTCTAAACTTTTATTTGAGAGGGGTGTAACCCAAGCTAATTTGCAAATAGTATTCATGGTACCAAATGTATCACACACTTTACAGTAATTATAAATTATATTTGAAAAATAAAGCACATCAAAAATGTATTTTTAAAAAACAATTGGTTTTATCTGCAGATACTAGGTTGATATTGAGATTGACCATTTCAATGCTAAATTTTCTTTAGTCAAAAGGCACACTTGATTCGCAAAAATTTGTGAATGCGCACAGTACACCAATTTGTCTAATGTTTTGATTCCATAGGCAGGAGGTTGTGGATCGGTGCTGCTCAGGATGGGATATTTTTGCCTCTTACGTGTTTCACATGAATCCATCGTGCTCGGATTCGACTGTTTTCAAGGTCTGAAGGCTCCAACAGCCTTATTTTATGGGTACACAAGAGGATTTTCAGTGTGGCATGTATGGTTCAGTTGGAGTCACTAACCTCAAGATATCTATAAGCAAGGATAAGATAACCTGGAAGTAACATTCCATAATTTAGAGTAAAAAATGTATCTGCCTCCACAGCCCTTTCAAATGAAAGATGATGCCTCGGGGGTAATTTCTATCAAATATTTTACAGTATTATGGTTCTAGTGGAAAGGGGTGTAGGCGGCTTTTTTTTAAAGTGTGGTAGGTCTAGTCGAAAGACACATTAAATGTTTATGCTAACAACTGCGAATTAATATTGCAACGCATACAAGTTAACAGAATTTGTTGAAATGGTCCTGCCTTTTGCCTTTCTTCAAAATCCTCCCTTTTTTAACTATTTTCTTCTTCTCTGGGGATGGCGAAAATTCAAATATCGATGGGACATGTAAGCAGCTGATAATGGGTTATCTTCCCTTTTCCCTGAAAATAAATTAAACACTAATCATCATTTGACAGTGCCAAGTTTGTGTATCAGATCAGTAATAAATTACCTGCTAACTAACAAAACAATCAGACAACACCTTCTGACCATTAATGAAGATTTCTTTCAATTTAAAACGCAACTATGCCTACAAATGTGGTTGGTTTTTAGGATAGAATTTATCTGTGGTCAGGGACAGATTGCAAGGTGCAACATCGTACGATTACCATTCTATGTCGGGATTAGTTAGCCAGTTATTTGTTTTAGAAGCATGGACTTGATAGTGGGGGATGTCGTAATCGACCAGCGGTCGTGTGAACCACCCTTAGTGGGAGGAGAGCTGCAATCCCCTCGCACATAACTATCCCCGCATGGGATTGAAACCTGTGAAACTCCCAGGGGGATCAGAGATGTGGTGGCGAGCGTATTCTCAGATAGAGCATTCAATTGAATTCTGGTTATTTTTTGCATTTGCACTGGCGTTAAACTTTAGTTATCTATTCAAATTTTCACACTTACTAATAGATTACCTGATAACTAGGGAAACAATACCTTATGGCAATTATTGATTAATACCTTACACGAGTCAAGTCTGCAAATAGGCCCTTACACGAGTCAAGTCTGCAAGTACTGAAGTAGGCCTACGCCTAAGCCTCCCAATAACAGTAGTTTGTTATCTGCTTTCCATTGAAATGAGGGAGCTTATGAATATTTAAAAAAATTGATAACGGCACATCATGACTCACCATCAACTAAGTGCTGTCCGCAAACAGTGAAACACAAGTAAGATGGCTTCTGGACTTGACACCAAGCAGTCCTGCCAATAGATGATATCCACATTGCGCGACGTTCCGGATCTTTTGAAAACAGTGGAATATAGCTGAAGATCCATTTCGTTGTCTATACTATACGTACAGCCAGCGGAACAATACGAAATAACCATTTTCAACGGCCAAACAAAACGGAAACGTATAATCCGACTTGCAACTGACAGGAGCCAAATGGACGTTTTTGTTTTATTGCCGTCCAGTAACAAGGTCACGTGACCCGTGCAAGTCCTCTATAGGGATCGTTACGGCCATTGAGGTAATGGTTACGACGAGAAAACGAAAGAAATAGCTTGCTTGATTTCAGGTGATCGTGTGCGTCTTTTGGAGGACAATCGCGGGCCCTATTTCGTCACTGTTACGTTGTAGTAACGTTGTTGTGAGTAATGTTTTGGATGACGTATTCAGGCAGGGTTAGAAATGAAATATGCGAAAATGGTTATGCCATGCCAACTAGAAGTACTTGACGGCGTTTAGTGAACTAGCCCCGGAATTTCAAGTCGATGTTTCTGGACTATAATGCGCCTTTTGTAATACTTTTTATTCTGCCGTGCTTGACGCTTCCTTCGTTGCGCTTCGATCTTATAAGAAAACTTGGTACTTTAAACGCCCCAGGCTTCACCATGCCGGTACCAAAGCGCGACTTTCGTAATATTTGATCACTGCTTGCTTATTTTACACCAACTTGGTTTCATTGTGTATGCAAAATAGATAAAAAAAAAGGCGGCACCGTTATAAGTCATATAATGGGTTTGCCACACATAACCTTGCTTCATTATTGCAGGTTTCCGATTTTGCTCTGAATAATGGCCGTGTGCAAGGGCACAATAAGTTGATGATGATCACACTCATTCAATTCACATTTCTTGTACGTTACGCAAAGGTATATGTGGGGACATATTGCGATGACTAGGATTCGTTCTTCCGATTAAAGAGGAGTGTCAAATAGTTTAACCGTTCTACAAGGGGACAGGCCATGTTAAGCAAAGGTATGGTCGGGGACATATTGGGATAACTATAATTCGTTCTTTCGATTACACAGACGTGTCAAATAGTTTAACCGTTCTACAAGTGGACAGGCTATGTCACCCGGGAAAATTTGCTTTCTTTTACTTTCATTCTTTTAGTGCAATACCCGGCTGAATTGGGCTTCTAGGAAAGATTAACGTCCTTTTTATGGCAATGAATTGAAGTTTAAACTCAAATACTGCGATTAAAGAAAAATTATATATAGATGTGATAACCGATGGGTGAGAATGTGAAATATGTGGAGGGGGGGGTTCTGAATTTTTTTTTTTGCCAAGTTAGATCGAAACTGCTAGCGGGTCCGACCGAACGCTGAAATAGGCGTGTTTTTAGTAGTCTTGTGGGTCTAAAAAGTATTTCAAGCTACGAAAAATTGCTATATATAATACAGAAAAATGATTTTATTTTTTTAGATTTCAAAAGGAGGGGGGGGGGTCGACCCGCAAAATCACTCCCCTCCCCTGGCTACGCCACTGCTCAGTGGCATATCCAGGGTGTGGCGGTCACGGCTCGTGCCATGGGCACCGTTCGTACAGGGGGAAAAAATAATTTGAGATTAGAAATAACTGTAACCCGTATTTTTTTACTCAAATAATAACATACAAGTATCTCAATTCAACAGCAGTCGTTAAAAAATGGCAGTCAACGTTCAAGTGGGCGGTATTTTTAAACTTGGTCATAGGCACCGTCACATAGATACGCCACTGCATGATGTATAATACATGACAAACAATTCCGCTCTAATGAATTTATTGGAACTTAACTATGCGGAATACATATACAAAAATTTTAATGAAACTGAAATCGAGTTATGCTGGACGTCGTGTGTATTATTTTCATGGTGAAACTTTGCACTTTGACATACAAACATTTATTCAATTGCCAGGGTTAATATCGGATGCTGAGACTATCATATAATTAGTGTATAGTATCGTTACAAATTACCAATTTATATCGTGCCGAAATTAATCCGTTTGAAGCTGCATACACGACAGGTATTTACAAATTTAAAAAAAATTGTTTGACAAAACATTGGAAAAATTTTCAATAAAAGAGGTTCGTACAATGTACTGCAGATTAAAAGTATTCGTTTCGACAAACCTAACAAAATTTACGTACCATAGGTTTAAAAAAACATGAACGTTCTATTGGTAAGAATTATAAATTGAATCATTCATAGCTGAATTTCATTTACAGACCAACATACGTACACATGGTATATAGGCATGTTCATAAAATTCATCACATTACGTGTACATATCATAACAGACTCCTTTGATAAATTCGACCCTCAAACTGACATGGCCATTCCAAGATTGGGGGTTGACTCTGATATATCGACAAGATATCGGACTCGGAAACATGTTGATTACTTTCGTATCTTGGTCTCTGTTTGCAGTAAACACCTGGTGAAATAATGTTCAACTTCAGTGTCATGTTTAATAACATTAAGTTTCATCCATATGGGAATGCATGGTTTTTTTGTACAACCTGGACGGATACATTAGTTATAGATTCGGATTTCCTTATCAGCTTTGTGAAAAAATCTATCGTATTTCCTCGTTGCATTGATTGAGCTGACATATCGTATCAATCGGTATGACTTATGTTTTTCAGTATCTCTTAGTATTTTTTGCAAATTTTCATCAAAGATTGTTCTATCATTCGTGTACAATACTCGGCGCTACAAAAGTGTATGTACGAATATGGAGGTAACTAATTTTGTTCGCGTACTTTACACCAAGCTGTATGAGGAGATTGAAACCTATGGGAAGTGTTGTATACGCGTCTGGTCATTGTTTACATGTGACGAGAAGTCCCGAGAAAGTAATCAACTGCCATACTCGTACGCGATCCGCCCGGACACTTGTCGAATGTTTCTTCTGACGTGCGGTACTGTTTTGTTTTGGTCATACTGTTATAGTTAAGTCTTTTGTTATGCTGTATTAAATCTTGTGTGTATCATTCACTGAGTCTTTTCTGAACTTGCGAATTCCAGAACAGAACAGGCAGGGTATATATATTCACTTGGCTAACACAGACAGTCCCCGAACTCGTAATGGAACTAAAATGAGGGAAAATCGGAATAAAATTATGGCCTGACGCTAATCTATTACATATATATACTGCAGGAGTACTCAATGCTGGGGAGAATCAATCACTGACACTAACCGAGTCACAGACATCATTAATCGAAGTGAAATGAATCCGACTTCGCAAAGAATCACCATTGAGATTTAGCTCAGTGATAAACTTGACGTCAGACTCCAATGACTCGTGCCACAACTTGAAACGGGTTTAAGGAACTAGCCTGTAAAAATCAAATTATTTACAAAATATTTGGCAGGCAGATATCAAGTCAAATAAAACTAACCTTGGTGAATCCGGATTCTTGAATTGGCTCCAACGTAGATGAAGAATACCCGCACGATATTGTAAATGTTTTGATCCATTGAACATAATCATGCCTTCCTTGAGATATTACTCCTCCAACCATAGTGGGCTTCCCCAAATCAACCAGGAGCCATTCACCAACTCTATCTGTAAGAGTGAAGTCAGTAGTGTAATGTAATTAAGATGATGTATATATTGATAAAAGTGTCGATAGAGAGAAATCTCACTATAATGGGGTTGACAGTGGTACAAAGCAAAAGATTTGTGGCGATGATAAATAATTAAATGTATAAATATGATTTAGGCTTGCACGTAATTTACGGAATTACGGAATTATTTCGAGTTACGGAAGCGAAGTTACGAATTACGTAAATTCGTAATTATTGGTGGAGCGCTTTCGCGATTGAAACGAGCTCTCTTTAGAGCAGTCAATTCCGTCGATTGTAAAAAATTAAAGTTTAAAAAGTAGAAGAAGTTAGAGTTCCGGTATTCGCAGCCGTTTTTCTCTCTCTTGTTACGCAGATGGAGAAGGCATAACGCGTTGCCATTTACTAATCTATTATCAACTTATCTAGCATGGCAAATGTACATATTAAGCGTAGATATGGGATAGAATTGTGTCGAGACCGGTGGACGCCAACACACCTGGTTTCAACTTCTTCGGGTGAAATGACTAAAGAATGTAAGAGACAACTTACCAAACATGGTCTATTTGTAAAAGCCGTGATAATTAATGTCGCGCTTATCAAACAGCAATATGACGACGGAAGAGAAATTGCGTAATGAACCAACGTAACTTAGTCTTTTCGGCATCGGTAAAGCGATTCAGACGGCAGAGAAACAACAAAAAGACGGGATTTCCCATGTTTATACTGCGCGAGAGCCATTTTCTATTACAAAATCTTGATGTTCTGTTACCGGTTTTATCGTTATATATCTGTCCGGACTTGGCCTTGTTTTCACAATGCCTCGCACTATTTCGGCCAAATATGTCTTTACAATATCTTTGAGTCTTTACCAAATGCGGCAACTTATTTTGATTTATCGTCGACTCAAATACCACCGGCACTCGACCAAACTTGTGTCGACTTGAGTTAGAAAAGTAAATTAATATTTTCGTGAGTGCAAAATAAATGTCACCAAATGCATTGTTTTGCGATATAACTTTGTATTTTCGGAGAAGGCATGTCATATAAGTACGGTATTTAAATTATGCGCAAATAATTAATATTTGATCTAAATTTATCGCAAATAATGTTATAACATTTAGGCCGCGAAATAATTTAATGTAAAATGAAGCATGGTAATCGGAATATCGTAAATAAGTCGGCATCAATAATTATTATAAAATGCTAACTAGGTAGTAAAGTCGGATAATGTAAAAAAACGGTACAATAACAAGTCTTCGTCGCGAGGCAAGCGCAAGTATAATCAAACGAGAGAATACGCTCGTCGTTGATTTATAAATTAGAAACCCGGAATTTTTAGTTAATACGAAACTCGTATTAATACGTTAATATGATTTAAAAAAAGTCAACTATCGTTTCATAAATATATTACCACTTACCAGTGTTGATAATGATAAAATTGATCACATAAAATTGGGTGATAAAGTTGATAAAGGAAAATCAAAGCTAACACAAAAGACAAAAATCAGAATAAAATTAATTTGAATTCACTCCTTGATATTTGTCTTTAGCATCTGTCGCTGGCGTGTAGTACTGGCGGAAATATGAAAACCAAACTGTCCCAACTGTCGATGTCCCATTCGGAATAGAAGTGGATTAAATTGGTTGTTATGATAGGTTTAAAAGTGTGAAAAAAATATCGCAATTACGGGGTCATTACGTAATCGATTTGGCCGTAATTACGGAATTGATTTTTGTCAATTACGTGCAAGCCTAATATGATTATATATGCTTACTCATGATATTATATAATCTCCAAACTATATATCGTAACACAAGGTTGACATATCTATGCATATGGAAATATTAACAAATATTTGATAGGTTGGGATAGTCCGGCTGTATTAAGAAGGATTCGCAACCCCTTCTAGTTGGAATGGAGTTGGAAATATAACTACAGTAAGTCAAATTTTGTTGTCAAATTCTGATAAAATATTACATCGATAAAACAAGAACAGTTCTGATGTCAAGAGATTTACAAAATCGCAATGTTCTGCCCTTTTTGTATGTCTTCTACTCCAATTCGGATGGAATTCCTATTTGCCTATTTCATTCTTATTTTAATATATATACGATATCTTACTGTATTTTGCTGCCCAGGCACCTCTGTCGTTTGGTTTGTTTCGACTGTCAAGCCTTCCGTGATACGAATTGTGGTTGCCATCGTACACTGATGAAGCCGTGATTGCAGAATCAGGAATTTCTCGGTTTTTCATTCCCAGATAACAATATGCACCTGAAGAGTGATGAACAGTTGTATAGATTTCAATTTTTCAAATTTCATATTTTTAGCACTTTTATTGTCCGTTCAAAAACCTCCACTTGCGAAATGTAGCGATGAACCGTTTATAACCCCCGGTGGTAATCAGTCAGTAAAGTCTTTTTCATGTTTTTTCCAACATTCTTTATGGTGTTCTTAAGCGCAAAAATAGTTTCGTTTTCTTTACCAAATCAATTTAATGAATTGCAATTATAGCTCAAAAATAAATCAATTAATTCTTACTTTTTGGCAGTGATTCGAGAATCTGATTTGACTTTGCAAGAGAAGCTAAAAGAAAAAAAAACAATACATGGTGACGATTAATAGTAATAATGGAGTCTATTTTTCATATTATTATTACATCATTTCAAAGTTTCTTCAATAAACATTGCTAAAGTAAAAAATTCAACTAAAATATATATGACAAAGAAAAAGCATTGAAATATTATTCAATGTCAATAGATTCGGACTTCTAACGTCATTCTAAGATTTGGTTTGCACGGAAAAATCTGACCAAATATCGTTCAGTAAATTCGTAATTTTGTATAAAAACTCCACTAATAAATTTGCCTTGACACAAATCGCCAGTACAGGGTTGGTTGAATATGTCAGCGCAGCGAATAAGTTGTTCTATATGAAACAATTCAAACATTTTCCAACTAAGTGCATCTTTCCCTTAACTATATATATATATATAACTTTCCATGTTTCCTCAGACCTTCTAGTTCTTGTATTCTCCGCTCCAAATGTTCAGCTGTTCCTGGATTGCCTTTTGGCCCTTTAGAACCTCGATCGCCCTTTTCTCCAATCGGCCCTCGCTTTCCGGGCCTGCCTTTACACTGACTCAAGTCACATGTGGCTTGACTGGGGCCCTCTTTATCGACAACATGGGAACAGAACTCGTATACTGTTGGCATCCGACTCTCAGTACGGCCCAGCAGTATAGTAATGAACAAAACGGCGATTATGTTCATTGCTAATGGACAAAATATAAAAAACCTAGCCACTAAAATATTAGGTAAAATAGAAAGAAAAAAACAGGTTTGATTATAAAACTTCTATAATCTAAAAAGCTTTTTAGAACAGTTCACAACTATGCTCGAGCGACACGACCTTGGTATACCTGTTCCAATATAACAATTAGATAAAATTTTAAACTACAGTGTTTATATATATATATATCCCTTATTTAATTCTATCACAAGAATTGTATCCTCCAGATATTAGATGACAGCATAAGAGTTAAAGAACAATTCAGGATTCTTTGTACAAATGCTTAATAATATATCACAGCGAACAAAAGCGAATTATTGCGTCTTTAAAACTGTAAAAAACAACCTGATATGCCCCGAAGCCATTACGAATCAATAACGCTATTCCGCTTTTGTTAAAAATAAGTACATATTATATCAAGTATATATGATTACGGCATGTGAAATCGGCAAAAAAGTTGACAACTGCAATTTTTAAAAGCGACATTGACGCCAGCGTTAACGCCACAGAAGGTTATCGAGCCTGGAGTTTTCTAGGCTCGGCGGGGGCGCGCATCGTGGTAACCGTCGGGAATACGCAACAGGCGTGAGTTCGTTGGTAGTGAGTTATTTTCCCGCGGGGGTATTATTGGAGAGGATTGCTGGACTCCTTGCGCCGCCTTTCTCCAAATGATCAAGTAGTCATATCCCCCGGAATAAATATGTAAATCCTATCATTCTGCAAGGGAAAATGGAACAGCAAGACTCTAAATACCTGGACCAGATTAGGTACATATATCGCTTCTCCATATTATCATTAAGAGATATTAGAGGCCTCCGTTTCAAAGGCCCGAATGACGCAAATTAACGGTGCTTTGTAATCTTCAAACTCTCGTAACATAACAAGAAGTATCTTTGAAAAAATAAGACCTTTGCCGTCAAACGCACTACTCCTAAATCCCGAGGTCACGCTCGGTCGTTGGAGTCAACTTTTCTAAACGCCATCATACAAAATTTGAGGCCATAACATTCCTAGCTTACACTCCGCTGTTGCTTCTTTTCTTTTCCAAGCGCAGGTCTCTCCGGGAAGATAAAATTGTCAAAAAAGGCAGCAAAATATATATATTTATTAATTACTTCAAATACAGCAGATTATCACTCTTAGTGTGAAACGAAGCATTATAAGTGCAAGTAAATAGCAGTTTGTCCACATTAAATACTCCATTATTTTTAGACTTGGGCAGAATGAGGCTTTGATATTTTCGATGGTAAGACAAGCTCTTCATTCCACTTTTCAGCTAAATTTTAATCATGCACAACAAAACTTTTTACTTACTCTACCGCTTTCTCCTTGAAGATGTGTGATATGTGACCACGGGCTTCTGCCTAATATCAAAGTTATAACTACACATTACTGTATGCATCATGCGACTACAACCATTCAAAACCTCAAGCAGAAGTTTAAAATTTTTCTATTGATTTTGGTGTGGAAACTTGGAAGTCAAATAAGAAATTTGGATAGAATATCAAAAGGAGGTTTGTACACTCCAATTTTTGGTTATCAAAATTGGTTTTCTTGGTGTTTGATTCAGAATTAAATTTTTGATATATATATATATATAGGCATTTTGGATTCTTAGCTTTTTCCATGCTTCTCCGCTCAATTGGTAGACACTTATCACTATGCACGGCCAGAAAAGAAATAAGCTTGTTAGTTATTGGTGATATATATACGCGATTTTTCATCTAGAAAATTATTGTATTGCATATTTCTATTCTGTAACTGGCGACATTCAAACTGTAATAATTGACTATTCATCAGCATCTGTGTGCTAAATATTACAAAAGCAAAAAAAAACAAAGAATTAAAAAGCAAAACAATAAAATTCACTTGACTTTGACAATTTTAGTGCCTTCACAGGAAGTTGAAATATCAAGAAAAAAAGGACTTATTTTATTTTGCATAAAAGTACATGGTATTATGTTATAAATTCCCGGTGGTACATCCAGTTCTAGCATTGAGTATCCAGACCTGTAAAATAAATTATGGTTTTGAATGAATGTTTGTCTCAGGTAAAAATGTATTTTAAAATGGCGAACCCATGGTTGAGCGTCTGCCATCCGCTAACCACGACAGTGGAGTCATACTTTACGATGATTCTATTAACATTGGGATCAAGAATTGCCATTTCAAACTCATTGGAAGCCCAAATTTTGAATTTTTTGCAGTCTGAATTTTTAGAGTTTTATTGGTCATAATCGAAGTCAAATTTCTCAGAAAAACTTGAAGGATATTATGATTATAGACAATGAAAGCAGGTATACGAAAATTTTTTGATATCATCAATCAGTTTGTTTGGACCTCAAGTCAGAGTATGAATTTTACTCATTTTGTAGTTGAGTCGACGTCTATGTCAAACTTGAGTCTCGGTAGTTTGAAGCCAGGTGCATATTTCTACCAACTCTTTGCTTGGAATCATTTGAAATGTACTTAAACGGGACAGATTTCGTAAGTCCTAGTGATCATGTTATTCAGATAATAAATTGTGTTCATATGATTGATAGTTGAGAAAAATGTAGCAAATCACATGCAGCAGGCTTTGACATCCCAAATGATATTATTTTTTGTGATGTATAAATGTATCAACCTGCATTACATAAATCTACTTAGAATTAATAAGAAGCATTATTAATGGATACACACCAAAAGGTAGAAAAGAAAGAAAATTTTGTCACATTTCAAAACAAATCCTCAAACATATCCACGTTCAAAATTCCACAATTAAATTTTCAATAATTATAAAAAACATTTTCACGCAAGATACCTGAAATTTCCACTCATTTCTTGTTTAAACGGTTTGTCTCCGTTTTTTGTGTCAACACAAGAAACATCAAATCCGACACTGAATACCTTCGGTCCTCGGAGCTCGATCAATAATTTAATGTTTCCTTGTTGTTGAGAATTGAGATTAATTTGATAAATGGGATTCCTATTATAAGTATCACGATGATTGGCACATCCACCAGCATTTTCTTTAGTCCAGTTACCAGAGATCTGTTGATGAGAAAGGGTTAAAAAAAAAATTTTCATGCCTCTATACATTTTTTTTAACTCCCGTAATATGTGTACCAGGTTAGGGTTAGACCATAATTTTATTCCGATTTTCTTTATTTTAGTTCTATTACGAGTTCGGGGACTGTCTGTGCTAGCTAAGTAAATATACCCCTTGTCCATAGGCTTCCGTCACTTTACACAACTTGATTTAAAGTAGGCGAACAAAATTAGTTACCTCCATACTGGTACACATACTTTTGGAGCGCCCATTTTTTTATGAAATACAACAGAGAAGCTAAATAAGTAAATAATATGATTCAAATTGGAAACATTGAATATAAAGACAAACGGCTGAATGATGACAATTTTTTTTTTTTTAAATTCAAGTTGTTATCCAAACACAATTTGAAGTAATGTTCGATAAAGTATTTCAATGAATAGTTACAGGAATTTGAAAGTAAAAAATATACATTTTCCTCATTTTTTCAAAAACAGCTGTCATGGCAGAAGAATTGTTAACTAAGAGTAAGAGTACAACAGCTGCAAATATGCACATTTATAAGGTTTTCATCGGCCTTTGATTATAACACAAAAAGAGTATTAATATGGCAGTCTATGTAGACCACACAAATTTAACGAAGAACTTTGATAAATGTGTTTTCAATATTTAAGATTTATAGCTATATGATGGTCCACAAACTTCAGTATGAAGACTTAAGCACCTCCCTTTTTTTCATTTTATTATTTATTCTAAGTTTTTTCAGCTGATATTAGATCATATTTCAATTTTCCGAAAGAAGTCAAAACTACAACTGAAATTACAAAATGCTTTTAAACATTGGGAGTTTTCACAGAGAAAATTATTTTCTAATCCGAAGTTTGAATCTAAATTTTTAGGTTTTGGGGGTCAAAATTAGTTGATATATCTCACCCTCTTTTTGAACTTGTACGGGTCCAATATTTTTTTCAAAGCAAATTCAGCTGTGGCGTAAACTCTTATCGTGTATTGGATATTTTTGTGTTTTTCATATTGGGATACAACCAGAGTAAACCGGTTTGGACTGGTTTTAGCAGCAGGAACTTGAATTCGAGTCAGATAATGTGGACTGTTGATTCGAACACCATCAATGTAAGGCGAAGGCGAATCTGTCAATATAAAATAAACAGTGGTAAGTTCATAGAGCTCATAGGTTCTCTGAGTGCTACATACGGAGCCACAGGGCTCTGTGAGAGAAACTTAAGGGCTCCACGAGCTATTCCTTCACTTATTAAAGTACTGATTTGGCCAATTTTGTAACTGTCCAAAGCACCAATAACGGCATTAAGAAAATTTGACAAGCAACAAATACACCCATTAAATAGTAATTCTAAGTTTCTCAGGAACATTAATCGGGAAATAGCAATGTGTTTTTGTTTTTATAAATTTATTGTGGGGTTCCGTAAATAGTATTCAACCTCATCACCGGTTCAATTGCACTAAAAGTTTGAGAACCCCTGACTACTGGTGGTTAAAGCGTTAGACTTGGATTGAATAATTTGGGTAGGCGATGCAAAACCGGAAGAATTCTGGTATTATTCTTTAAATAGTAGCTCCTCGTATATCTGTGGCAGTTGTAAAGGTTAAGTGAACCACCCAACAATGGCGAGGAGTCTACAATTCATAAATCAATTTTTGTCCTTGAAAACACAAATGTAAATGTAAAGAAAACTTGAGTTCAGATGGCAATTAATGTCTTCCCCAGTCGATAGAAATGAGAATACATTTCAAATATGTGCTAAACCTTGGTCTCTTGCATAGTTACTAGTCAGACTTAGTATTGCTATATTCAACCACTTTGCAAACACTCTACGTAATGTGCTTCTTGGAGAACTCCACTGGTTTAAACTGGCGACAACTACCAGGGATAATAATTGTAGTGATAGTGTTCCTAAGGCTTGATAGTTCAGTCCAGGGCTGTGAGGTCGTAGAATATTTACAATCCACTCTGGGATTGAAAA